GAGAGAGAGAGAGAGACAGAATATCGATTATAGGGGTCTGAATGCCATTACAGTGAAGAATGTTGAGCCACTGCCCAGGATAAACGATCTCTTAGATCGGGTGCAGGACTGCAAATATTTCGCGTCCCCAAGAAGTGTCTAATGACGCCCTAGTTTTTCAAGAACTTGGGCTCCAAAGGACCTTGCGAGGTCCCTTGGAGCCGGGGGTGATTTGCCTGGGAAATCCTCGAAGTCCAAGGACTTGTCCTTGGACTGTTTTCACATTTTCTTTTCGAAAATCAGCTCCGATGACAGGAAGGACGATGAAATGCTTGGAATCGCGTCCCGAAGGAGTGTCTAATGACGCCCTAGTTTTTCAAGAACTACTCTCGAAATTTGGGACTTTATCCAGTTTTCACAAAATGTCTATTTTTCACGAATGGCTTGTTGTACACACAAGTACCCACGTTCATGGACTTCACATGGCTTCCACATAGCAGAGCAGTGATTATCACACAATGTCATCTCATTTAACACTTGCAACCAAGGCCATGCACACGACTTAGCATACATGCACGCCGACACAGAAGCAGCGATGGAGAAAAATCAAGTCCCTCGCAAGCTTTAAACATTAAAAATACCGCCATCACACGTGCATGATACACCATACCTAATCACGAGGCGTGCCCCAGCTTAGCCTCAAGGCCCTGTGCGTAGCTGCACCCTCAGCACTTCACCAATCCTCCACCACTGCTTTGTCCTTCCAACTACAACCTACCAATACTACTGCTGGACTTACGCACGCTGTCACTCCGCCCATCCGTGGGCATGCTGAGCCTATTTGGCGCCGCAATTGTCGTGCATTCCCCACGGAACATTGTAGCTGAGATCACAGAGGAGAGGAAAGGGCTGGCCGAATTTATGGAGGAGAAGGCAGCGGGGTGTTGGCATGGAAGACGGGGGACAGAGAGTGGCGAGAGTGGAGACGGAAGTTTCGAGAAGGACGAAAAAGGTGATGAAGGCGGAATCATCTGAAAATTTTCGCAGAAGTCAGGTTGTTCGTCCAAGCCGTGCGTGAAAAAAATGCTCTTACAGCTTGATCCAACCAGCTGGAACCGTGGCCAGTCATCCTTTGCCGAGAAGGAAGGAGGAAGACGAAGGGGTGAATGAGGATGAAGGAGACGGGCAAGAAGAGAAGTTGTTGTGTGTGCATGAGCTGGAAGCTTGCTTGTGTATGATGCCAAATGCAAACTGCCAGCGTGCGAATTAAGAAATCCAAAAATACAAAGTGAAATTCAAACTACCAGCACAGGTATTAAGAAATCCAAAAATAAGAACAACAACCAACAACGTACCTGAAAGCATAACTGTTTCCTTGAGAAATCTCGCGCGATCGCTAGTCAGCCGCGCGAATCTAAGTCACCAAAAAACAAGGACATTCATAAAAAAACACAGGCTTTTATGCAAAATTTTAAGATCCGACCCCCTCTCATCCATTTTCACTCGGATCGTTACTGCGGCTTACTTTGGGGTTTAATTTGGAGGGTAAGTGTAACCACGCGGCACAGAACTTGGCCTATCACAATGATCCTGACCTGTTCTGGACAAAGGGTCACCATCAAATTCTTCTTCTTTCCAAATTTGGGGGGTGGAGTGCGCAGGTTAACGAAGGCCCGAAATTTCGGTGTTTTTTTAATGCTATTTATAAGAAACCCAAAGACATTTGTAACCAAACTTGGCAGCAGTCTACGAAGTGCACACCGTATTAACAAACAACAAAGAGAGGAGGAAACTGTGAGGCAAAAGTGCACTTGAATGAAAATTTGCATCCAGAAAATCGTCAGAAATTTCAGAAATTTTAGAAATGGTCAGGAGAGACGATTCCAATGGACCAAACGACTTCAGAACTTTGGGAAATGGTCACCACACCTGCAGCACGCTCGTGGAAGCAAACTCTGCTCTGACCCCTATCATACATCATGATATCTTACATCACAATATCTACATTTACTCAAACCACATGATGGTTCCTAGAGACCCTGAACTGTAAAGTCACCCTTGAGTACAAGGGCAATGTTTGTGATTGCACGAGAGACTCTCCATATCTCATGCTGCACCTTCGCCCATGCAGAGGCGTCACCATGCAGATTGACAGCCTTTGCCAAGGCACCAGCGATACCAGGAAAGGCGTTCGTATCGTAGTCATTATCCCCATGATTAGAGTATATCTGCAGCCAACAAATAAGGACACCCATTTAGAAGCAAGGAATGAGAACCAAGCAGCAACACCAATATCCGGCAAAACCTTGCCAATGCCCAGGATGACCACACACAGCAAGGATAACCTCCAGGTCAATGCAGAGGGTGACAATCTCAATTATCTTCTTCTTCTTCTTCTTCTTCTTCTTCTTCTTCTTCTGCTTCTGCTTCTTTCTTTTCCTTTCTTTTCTCAAGGAACTTGGCTTCAATTGTATTGGGGGAACATCAGACCGGTTCGGTTTCCACAGGTAAGTCAGAAACCAATACAATAAGGACCCACTCAAATGATTCCCTCAGTCATGGGCAAGGAACAACTAACAGCACTGATGACGCTCATATGCACAGTATTGACTGCAAGCTACACTCAATACAGATGCTGAGGAGTTCTTCCCATTAGCTATAGCCAGAAAATCCCTTTGTGCTCTAAAAAGCAGTGCACATGCCACAAGGCGATACTGTCCACTGCCAGTTGTAAACAAGCCCAGACCTGCAGGAAATTGTGACAAAAGGAGCCGAACTTCATTTCTTTCTCTCTGTCTCTCTTTCTTTGTTTCTTTCTTTCCTCTCCCTTCTCCCTTTCTTTGTTTCTTTCATTCCTCTCCTTCCCCTCCTTCTTTGCTCACTCTCTTGCATCTCTTCATAGATTTTCAATTGATGGGTTAGAGTTTTTGCCCATAGGAACCCCTTTTGCTGCAAGAGCACAAGGCCATGCACAGTGCAGGTGTGATCGATGTCAAATGCCACGACTTTCAAGATATTGGATGAAAAACCAAAACTCTTTAGCTCACCGGCTGTGGGCACCGATTCTCATCCTTGTCCCTGGTTTTCGGCTACTGGATGTCAATGTTGGTGGTGGGATTGGGGGGTTCTCAAGGTGGTGTTCACATGTTCCTTGTTGGACACCTATAGGTGGTGTTGGCACATTCTTTGTTGTACACGTATGGTTTTTGAGCCGCATTGTGATTCCACGGTGATTTCTTTCTGACACTGCTTCGAGTGCTAGGGACGTTGGATGTATTTTCTATAGACGCATGTCACCCCAAATTGTCCAATGTGAGCCCACTGGCTGGCAAAACCGGTGGCCATCGCGCTTCAGGCAGAATTAAATCAAGCTGTGGAGCACTTGGGAAGAGTTGGCAGCCACCTGCGCACTTGACGAAAGGCAGTGCTGCCGCATGTGCAGGTAGGAAAAGGAAAGGCAGGGCATGGAACAGAATGGACTGGCCTCAGCGAAAGAAAAGGACAAAGACGTGGTCCCACTTAATCTCTTCCACATGGACAGAAACAATGTTCTCACCCGGTACGCTCCAGATGTGACGAGATGGTGGAGAAACACTGACCTGCACAGGATTCGAGTACTGAGGGACAAGGAGGTGTGGATCGCATACCAACCAGACACCCCCGTGGCAGAGCTCCCGTTGGACCCCGAGGAATGGCAATGGGCCCCTCCACGAAAATACAGGTCGAGGGAGAATAAAAAGCTATATTCCCTAACGGTGAAGGCCGCTTATCGTCTGCTGCGACCAAAGGTGAACCTAAAAGAAAGGGTGAAAGCTCGCTGGGAATCCCACCTGAATCTGGGATCAGAGGCGATGCGCCCCATCCGATGGTTCACTGCCACAAGATCTAGACCGGCAAGGATGGCTTCACTACAGTGGCAGGTAGAACACCGCTGCCTGGCCACCAATGACTGGCTCATAGATCGTATATCCCTAGAACAGAAAGGGAGGGCACTACCATGGTGTAAGTCGTGTCACTCAGCCTTCCCCTCCGGCAGAATCCCGGAAACCATAGAGCATATATTCATGCAGTGTCCGGGGGCTGTTCTCACATGGCGTTGGTGGGACAGGATCTGGACACTGTTGGGCACAGAATCTGTCTGGTCTTGGGATTGGAGGGCCATATTATGCGAGGCATGGACCTCCCCCACCGACAATACTTTTGAAAACAACATGTTTAAGTTAGGGAGGAGAGCGGTCATGTGGTCCCTCTGGAGAAAGCGCTGTATCCACGACATTGAGGGGGTCCGCATAGCAGGGGAAGAGGCAACAAAGATGATAAAACAATACATTCAACAAGAACTTATGGTACAATGGCATAAAGTTAAAAACCAACTAGATTTGTTCCATACAGTAAAAGACATAACACAGGCTATCCATCAATTCTCGGAGGAATGCTTGGGCAGTGCTGGATAACATCCATTTGATGGGAGGGCAGGCTCGCGCAGGAGGACAATCAGGCGGAATTCAAGAGAGACTACTATATTCGTTTTAAAGATTGGACTAAGGTGGGCCAGGACATCCCGCTGCGACCACCCACAAAATTTCCGGATCCATTCCCGCCCCACCGACTGCCAATGATTGATATGCAATGGTATGGAGCAGAGTGAGCGGAGCGAGCAAGCCTGCGGGCAGGCCCATGGGCTGATGGGCAGGGGGTGAGAGCTAACCGCTAGGGGAACAGGTATAATCTAGCAGTCGGAGGCAGACTGTAGAGGCGGCACTTCAAGCAGTAACAAATGGGGTGGAGCAAAGGAGAAAGGAGGGTGTGGGGACAGACGAGGGATGGAGGAACTACCTCCAGATATCAGTGGATCATAGGAATGAACTTTGTGGACCAAATGACTGGGGACAAGGATAGCTGGGGAAGGGAGGAACTAGGGTGCAAAACTGGGTATTTGGCGCCTGTAACAGGGCGAAGAGGTTCACTCCGCTGCTAAGTCAATCCTCTGGACTCTAGAGTAATCAATGCTGGCAGGCGTTTCCAGATTCTCTCCAAAAAAGTCTGTATATGGGACGCTGGACCCGTTTTTCAGCAGGTGAAGCTCCCCACCAATAGATGGAGCCTCTCCCCAGGTGCTAGTGGTGTCTGCTCTTATCAGCACCACTAACACTGGTGGGGGCGTTTCCAAAAAAAAAAAAAAAAAGGCCTCTTGTCGTCTGTTGAGCCTACCTTCACTTAGGGCGGCCGACCTATTGCAAATAAGGGCCCAGTAGGGCTTATCGAGGCCTAGTGCCTCACATTCCCTCCATACTTCGCTAGTCCTCTGAGAAGTTTATTCAATCTGGTGCTTTCCTTTCTGGAGGAACTTCTCGTAGTGGGCGACAACATGTGGGGCGGTTTGCATCAATTCCTCCCATGTAAACCATCTATCCTCCTTAGGATCAGTGTGATGCCTGAACCGAACGCGATACTGCAGCTTCAGTTTCGGAGGACGTCCCCTGTCGGTCGGTCTTGGAACTGGCATCTCTCTACGATCCACGATTTCATCAATGTCGACCTCTTCATCCACTTCAGGGGCAGCATTGAGCGTCGCGAAGGGAACTGGTCAGTCTCCTTGAATGGTGCAAGCTTGGAGGCGTGAAAAACAGGGTAAGTGGGAAGGTGTCCAGGGATCCGAATGACATAGGAGGGTCCGTCTGGTTCATCCCCAACTACATCCAAAACCTCCCATGGCCCAAAGTACTGTGGCATGAGCTTATGCGAAATCCCGTCCTCCTGTCCCAGTTCAGAAGCCTTGACCCAGACCCTGTCACCTACCTGAAACATAGATGGGCGGTGGTGCTTGTTCTCAGATTCGATCATCGCCGCCTGTGCTTTGTGCATGTGTTCTACTGCCTGCTGCATATGACTCTCATATCTATAGGCAAATTCCAAAGTGCCTGGAGTAGCAGTAGGCTGGTTCTCAGGTAGCAGAAAATCAAGGGGGAGTCTGGGTTTGAACGTTAGTAGTAGGCTGTTAAGACTTACACCCGTGGCACTATGAACTGCGTTGTTATACAAGTTGGCGATGAGAGCAAGCTTCTCATTCCAATCCACTTGATTAGGCTTAATGTAGTGCCTTAGCAAGTGTTGAACAGCGCGGTTCATCTGCTCTGCCTGTCCATTTGCCTCCGGATGGTTTCCAGATGTCATATGCAGCTGCGTTCCTTGTTTGACAGTTGCGGCCTTCCACAGTTCACTGGTGAATCGGACATCCCTGTAGCTAATTATAGACTTCGACAGGCCAAAGTCTCTAACCCAGTTTTCCTTAAATAGCTTGATAACGTACTCGGTCTTTGTTGTTTCCGGCATGGCTACTAACCTAGCGTACTTACTAAATCTATCCACGATGACGTAGATGTACCTCATGCCACTCTTGCTGGTGACTAACGTATCCATGAAGTCCATGGACAGGCTTTCACCACGCCTTTCCGGAATGGGGAAGGGCTTGAGCAACCCAAGAGGAGCCTGTGTCCGGGGCTTGTCATGTTGACAAACTTGACAAATCTCGACATACAGTTTGGCATCTCTCATCATCGTGGGCCACCATAACCGCTGCAATAGATTGGCTGCAGTCTTCTTGAAACCAAAATGTCATGTGGCATCATGACTTTTCGCCTAAAAATAAACTACGCAAAGACTCTCTATTAGGGACACTCAAACGTTTATTCCCGGCCTTCTCAAGGAACAGCAGGCCGTTGACTAACTCAAACTCGACAGAAGTCACCTTGTCCTTCGCCTCGAGTCTGCGTATGATCTCAGACATGAACTGGTCCCCGCGATAGGCTTCCACCAACGAGAGTGACATCGTCCGCAAGTCCAAACTCAGTGATCAACGCACCAGAGAAGTCTGGCCCACTCGACAACGCATCAGCAACTCTGTTGTACTCACCTTTGATGTACTGGGGCTTGAAGTCATACTGCTCAATGACTTCGATCCAGCGTTTCAGCGCATCGGAGAGCACAGGCTGGGTCCTCATCCACTTCAGGGTTTGATGATCAGTCCTGACGTAGAAGAACCTCCCAAGGAGATAGTGCCTCCAGTGGATGAGCGCCTTGTAGATCGCATAGAGCTCCTTCTCATAGGTGGACTTAACCAACTTCTGAGACGACATCTTTTTGGACATGTACTCGACCGATCTCAACTTTGGCCCCTCCTGCTGCGCGAGCATGGTACCAATGCCATATTGGCTGGCATCCGTGGTTA